TTGTCTTATGATACTTGTTTTGACTTTCGAGTTTGCAGATGGAACAAAACTACTTGGAAGGCTATTTTAAGGGAATAACTGTCTACTTTGACGCTTCTGCACACAGGTAAGTCTTTTTACCTGGTTTTGCAATGCTATAATTACCATGGTATCTTAGAATATGTTATTTTGGCTATACAGGAATTAAGGGCATTTCATGCTAGTCTGATGATTGTTTTGTTAATGCTGAAGGTGTGAATAACTATATTTTCCTTTCAAATTTCTCCTCATACTTCCATAAGATAAACCAAGCAAGGAAAATATACGCAATGCTTTTTTTCTTAACAACAAAATATACTCAATGCTTTACTGTGAATACTGCTGCTAAGATAAATTTATTTGAGTGGTGAAAGTTTCAGGATAGTTGAGCTGGAATTAGGAAATGACTTTGTGCTAGCAGTTTGAGGAATATGATTAAATAATTCATGCATACACATATTAATATGCACAGAGCACCAAATCTAAAAGTTGACTTAATTTAATCTTGGCAAGTTTTTGTGAGACAAAGAATTTAAAACTGGAAAGGAAATGGTCTTAGCTGTCATCATGATATCAAATTATTGTAACCGAGCAGTGCATAAACTTTATTTGAACTTTAAACTACAAAGCAACAAAAATAAAAATTAGATGAACTACAAATTTTCAAACACTAAAGAAAGAAAGAGCTTATTATGTTCCTTAACATGGAATAAATGCATTCTAGGATAAATCAGTTAAATCCCTGTGATGTATTGGAAATTAATGGCTGCATATCTATGGACAAAGAAGCTCCAGAGTCCAAACCTGAACCTATTGATGTCGAGGTACCATCCCAGAGATTGGTTACTTCACTTTTGGCATATATAACCTCTTCATGATTCTGTTGACCATTTGAATTGTTTTGCAAAAGACGAATCTGCTCTAACTCGGCAGCAACTTCTATCATTTTTGGCCGCTTTTTACCATTCAAGCTCAAGCATCGAAGTGCAAGTTTAGCGACCTTTGTTATCTCTTCGTGTGCAGAACTCTCCCTAACTCGAGCATCAAGAATACTAAAGAGACCATTCCCTTCCATGGAATGAATGAAATGAGAGGCCAAACTTCTTCCTCCTTCTGCCCTTGTTAAAGAAATTGGTTCCTCTCCTGTTAAGAGCTCAGTAAGGACAACGCCAAAACTATAAACATCACTCTTTTCTGTAAATTGACTAGATTGGTAATATTCAGGGTCTAGGTACCCAAATGTGCCTTGAACATTTGTGGTCAAATGAGTTTGATCAATGGCAATTGATCTTGATGTCCCAAAGTCTGAAACTTTTGCCCTGTACTTCTCATCCACTAGAATATTTGAGGACTTGACATCTCTATGATAAATGGGAATGGAGGCTGCCGAGTGCAAATAGGAAAGGGCTGCAGCTACTTCTGCTGCAATTCTTAACCGTCGGTCCCAGGTTAATGGGAAGTCTTCATTTTCATCATGAATGTACTGAAAAAGTGTCCCATTAGGGATGAATTCATAAACTAGCAAAGGAACTTCAGTCTCCAAACAACAACCTAATAACTTAACAATGTTTCTGTGATTAATTTGCGTAAGAATGGCCACCTCATTGATGAACTCTTTAACTTTCTCTTTATCCAGTACTGTTGACTTCTTAACTGCAACAATTCTTCCATCAACCAACATTCCTTTATAAACAGTGCCCTGGCCTCCCTGACCAAGAATTCTATTCCTGTTGAAATGGTCAGTTGCCCTCTCCAACTCTTGGGTACTAAATATTTTGGTCTTTTCAATATTACCCTCAGTTGAAGAAAGTTGTTGCTGCAATAATAAACCTCCATTCTGTTCAAAGAACTGCTTCTGGAGGTTTTTTCTCCTTCTCTTCTCTAAAATTTTGTACAACCAGTATGTACCAGTAAGTAAGCACACTACTCCAAACCCTAGGCTAATGCCTGCAGTGATTAAGAAAGGAGAAACGGGTGACTTTAGTGGGAGGTACACATGTATATCAAAACTTGATTGTATAAAAGTCCAGTTTCATGGTTAGTTAGAAAATTCGAAATGAAATGAAATAAAATAAATAAAAGTCCACGGGATTGGGCATGGTCTTTAAGAAAGATCTTTAGGTGAATAGGTAACAAAGATGATGAGAGATGGTGTAAGTAATTAGTATTGAAGTTGGGGATGGTAGACAGACCTCCCTTTTTTGTGAGTGTTGGCTACCAGGAGACGGACTTTGTGATAGGCTACCAATTGTCAATTGATGAGGTTACAGACTTCTAGGTTCATATAGTCCCTTGGTTTAGATTGGCGTGGAATTCTGGTTGGATTCCTGGGCACCATTTTATCCTCTAGATGCTACTGAAAGGTCTGTTGAAGAGAAAGGATACAAAGGATAGGTACTGAACTGGAGAAGGATGCATTTAAGTTTTAATTTTCTGTTGTGTTCTTCTGCCGAGAAATCATACAATGCAAGTATCTCTTTTTTGAATGCCCTTTTGCTTCTCGTGTGGAGAACTGTGTTATTGAGATTGGGAATTAGTAGAAGGCCGAGAAGTTGGACCGTGGAGTGGGAATCATACAAGCATCATGCAAGTACTTTTTTCTGCAGTTCCCAGTTAAAAAACACCATTTTGAACTTTTAACACCCGAATATATTGTAAAATTGAATTATTATGCTATAAATAAATAAATAAAAGTCGAAAAGTATGGGGCTTACCCAAAATGATTGGCCAGGCCTTTTTGCCTGGTTTGGGTTCGCAAGTGTAGCTCCCATTCTTGTTTACACAAATTGAGTCCAGATAAGGTAAACACAAACTAGGGTCGTCCTTGCATTCATCAATATCTAAGACAAGAAAACAAAAATAAAATCAGCAAGACATTAGG